CCCCCCCCCCCGCCCCTCGCCAGCCGCAATTCAGGAACCGACTCCGAGCGGTTGAGAGTTTTATTGGTCACTGAACAGGTTCCTTCAGTGTTGATCAGAAAACAGAAGTATGATTCACTATGACTAAAGATCACACACTTGGGCCAGTGGACAAAGACACTGAATCATAACACAGCACAACACACAGGGAAACCGTGCTGCAGGTGGGCTCCCCCTCAGCACGTCTTCCGCGTGGGACTTTCGCAAGGAGCAGGCCGTGTGGCCCATCATCCCCCAACAGCAGAGGACCTTCGTGCGTCGAACGGGCAGCGCACTAGCGACACTGCGCCCGAAAGATTTGGGCTACGACCCATCAGGACTGCAAGCGGGAGGAAAACGCCACTCCAAGCGGTGTCTTGTGTGCACAACAAGTTCCCGAGACGCGACGCCGCCTCCCCGTCCACCACAAGAAGGGAAGTCCAGGCTCTGCCCTTGGGGCCAGTTTATCTTCAAGAGAGACTTTACTTCTCAGGATGGGGGGGGGGGGGGGCGAGAGATTAAGCATGGAGCACTGCGCCATCCAGAGGAGAGCGGCAACCCGGGCCCAAAGCACGCAGAACCAAGACACCCTAAAAGAGCCGGCGTTTCTCTCCACCAAGAAACCCACTGAGGACGTTTCTCGCAGGAGGGATAAATGGGCCGCCGCAGGAGGCGAGGGGGTGCCCGGGCCGGCCCCAGCACCAGTGGAAGCCAAACACGGGAGCAACTGGGCCCCGGGGGCCGACGCTGCCCTCCCAGAGCAGGCCAGGGGTGCAATCGGCTTCCAGCGGCTGCCACCGCGGCGGCTCACTGCTCTGCCTGTGCCCCGTGTTACGGATGCCCCGGCCAGCACCCCAGAGACCCGGATCGAAGCTGACCGGGGCGAAGCCATCCGAGGGATGGCAAGCCCAGGGCCATCTTCCACCCATCCTCAGGCAGAGTGAAAAGGAGGAGGACATTTTTGCAATCAAAGATATCTAAGCAACGGGGGCAAGGAGGGACAACTCTCCGCGGCATCGCAGGGCTGCAGCAGCAGCGGCGGCCTCTCCTCCATCTACCGCAAGTCCTCAGCCGTGAACATGCCCTTGGCACGGCGCAGGATGGAGTCCTTGGAGGCATCGTAGGGGTGCTCCTTGGAGGGGATCTCCAGCACAGCCGGGATGGACTTGGTGTGCGCGTCGATTGCGTGCCGAATCATCTCTGCGATGTACTGGTTGATGAGGATGATGCCGATGTCTTCGCGGCCCAGGAAGCCCCTGTGGGTGGGAAGAAGGGGACAGATGCGGGGGGAGGTCACAGCTAGTCCGGCACTTTCCGCAGGGCCTGGGCCACCTCCACTGATCACGCGGGGCCTGGAAACCGGCTACGGCGGCTGGCTCTGGACAGGTGCGTTGGTCCAACTCGAGGAGCTCCGTGCTGCAGGTGCACAGCATCAAAGAAGGCGCCTCTTGCCTGCCGGACGAACCCTGCCTGAGCCGAAGGGCACGGCAGGTAGTGCTCGGCGGGACCGAATCCTGGAAGAGTAGGGCTGGAAGGGACCCAAATGGCCGTCGGGTCCAACCCGCCACTTGTCGCAGGACAAGTCAAACCATCCCTCTCAGAAGGGCCATGAAAGGCGACATTAACAATCTTGCCAGTATTCCTGCTTTAAAAGAAGCCTCTGCATAACATCATTTTAAAAACCAATGCAGACCTTGGGCGGTGGGGAGGGAAGAATGCAAAAGCTCCCAGCTGCCATGAAAGCAGCGCTGGCGAGATATCATGAAGGATCCCCATTCCGCCTAAGGAGCCACGCAGGACTCGGCACTCGGCGTGGCGCTCTCAGGCCTCTGCCCTTTATTCTGGCTCCAGATCGCTGCAGACAAGGCCGCCTCGGGGCAGGGAACCGGCACGGCCACCCAGAAGGCACCCCTGCGATCCACCGAGGGGCCGGAACTGACCAGATGGGAGGTTCCGCCCAGGTGCTCGTTCGGCAGGAGGAATCGGGAAAGGAGGCCTGAGCGAGGCAGCCGCAGCTGGGCCCTGATGGGCCTGCAAGGCCGGGCTGTTTGTGTGCAAACAGAGCCTGGGCCGAGCCAGCTCCTTCCGGGGAGGACAGGCGATGGAGCGGCAGGCTCCCTCCACCGCGTGTGAGAAGCGCAGTTCAGGGGGAGAGCAACAGGAAATGGTCGGGAACCTGCCACTGCAGGGCCCTGGAAGACCCAGGGAGTGAGCTGTGCACTGAGACCAAGCACTCGAAACTGCCCTCCCCAGCCTGCTGTCTGCAGGGGTGCTGGACTACAGCCCCCAGCATCCCCCAGCCAGCCATGCTGAAGGGCAGGGGAACCTCTCTCAAGAGCCGCGCATCGTGGGCAGCCCTTGCCAGGGGGCGGCCAGCAGCCCTGCTTCGGATGTGGCCAATTCGGCCTTACTGGAAAGCGACTGACTGAACTGCAGGCACCCCCAGCACCCCCCCGCTTTAGAGGGGAGGGCAGCTCCCCATGACGGCAGCTGCGGTTTGTCCAACGGCCACCGGCTCACCGAGCCAGAACAAGCTGCGGCCCTTTCCTGTGTGAGGGATCGGGTCAGTCCGGCTCTGGCTCCTTTCACCATGCCCAGCAAGCCAATTTCCAACGCAGCTTCCTTTATTCCCCACACTGCTGAGCGCCCCCAGACACACACGCCAACACACACGTTTTTGGGGGGGGGGGCGAGGATCGGGCCAGTGAAGCCACGTCCGCTGCCCTGCTCCTTCCCTGGGGGCTGGCGGGGGAGAAGGCCCAGGCAGATGGGTCTGCTCGCGAGTCACGGGGGTGCCTGGCGGCGGCAAGCACAAGAAGCGCTCGCCCTACCCAGGGAGGAAACAAGGAAGTCCCAGCTTGGCGGGGGGGGGGTGCAGCAGCAGCACCCCAGCCTGGCAGGGGAGGCTCCCCAAAGACCTGTCCTCGCGGGACGAAGTGGGCCCCTGCCTGAGATAGCTGCAGACACTTTCCAATGGGGAGGGGCTTTTTTTGCACCCCCAAAGAGAGAGTGGAAAGAGCCAATGAACTGCCCACCTCTTGCTACCTTGTAGTTGGACCAGGAGAAGAGGGGGCAGAGTCCCTCATGGTCTGGGATGCAGGCGGGGAGGGGGGCTACCAGCCCCTCCCGTGGATCTCAGGGCAGAGAAGCACGGGAAAATGGCCCCCGGCTACCCGTTCTTCCCCAGAGCCACCCCAAGCACTTCACGCCAGGCCACACAGTCCAACCCTGACACAGTGCCCATGATCCCCGCAATCCCTGGGGGAGGGGGGAATCTGCTCTGCGCAGCAGGCAAGGTGATGGGCTCCCAGAAGCCAGACGGCTCTGCACACCCCAATTCCATGGCTCAGTCTTCCCCAAGCAGGTGCCCTCCAGATGCCTGTGCCAGAAGTCCCATCTTCCACAGGCCTTGCTGGCTGGGGATGCTGGGAGCCGCAGTGCTTCCGGGAATACAGCACCCTCTCCCTGGGGGAGAACATTTCTCCTTTAAAAATAGAGGAGACTGAGTGCTTTAACCTCACCATAAGATGCCATACTACGTGTAACAGCAGCAGCCCTCCTCAAGCTAGTGCCCTCCAGATGCACTGGACTAGAGGTACGTCCTATAACTGGGGCTTGGTGGGCGTTGCAGCCCAACGCATCTGGAGGGCGCCGGCTTGGGGAAGGCTGTGCCGCAGGGGCTGCGCCAGGCAAGACCATAACCCCCTCCCGTGCTGGTTTGCTCCCTCGGTCACGCAGCAGAGGCCGCCCCCCCCCCCCGGAAGGAATGGTTTCTCCCTCCCTGCAGCGGACCTTTCGCCTTCGCATCGCCAGCACCCCGAATGGGTTGCCTCACGAACGCCCGCTGCCCCCGTCCCAGGGGCGCAGTGGTCGCCTCCACGCGTTTCCACGGCAACTACGTGCGCGCGCTCTTCCGCCTTTCCTGCAGCACGCCGCCGCCCGTGCCGCCCCTCCCTCACCGGAAAGCCTCCTCGATCTCGGCCAGCGCGGTCTCCTTCTCCACCACCAGGAAGTTCGGGCGCCGGTGCTTGTCGAGCTCCCCGACGCCACCCAGCAGGAACCCGGTCACCGTATCCTCGTCGCCCAGCACAGCGATGAGCTTTCCCCGGCCGGCCATTGTGATCCTCAGACGAAAGAGAAGCAACGCACTGCCGCTAGGAATGACCCGGCACGGCCGCCGTAAAGATCCCTTGTGCCAACTGGAAGCGCAGGCGCACTGCTCGGGAGCGGACTCCAGCTTCTGCGCATGCGTGGTTATCGTTTGACAAACTAATAGCGCAAGCGGACGCTTCTCCTGGGAGATATGAAAACGCAGAGCGTGTATACCCTGAACTACGAGTCAAACGGCCCGTTTATTGGCTTTGCAAATAAAAGGCGAAGCAAGGACGGAGAGCCTTCTTCCCGGCCTGGAACCCATAAAGAGCGCTATAAGAGAGCTGGTGTAGTGCATGGGGAGAGTCCTGGGGTCCCGGAGGCTCCCTGGCTGGCCCAGCCTACCTCACAGGGCTGTTGTGAGGATAAGGATTGCGAGGATGTGGTGGATCGTGCAAGCCACCTTGAGTTCCCGGGAAAGAAAAGAAGCAGGGTATAAATATGAATTCATAAGAGCTCTGCAGGTGGAGCAGGCTGGCGGGGGGGGGGGGGCTTGATCTCTTTTTAAAGCTGTCCAGATTGGGGCCACCAGGACATTCTGCGGAAGTGAGCTCCATCCTTGGCCTGCGCACTGTGCGAAGAAGCCTGCCCGTTTCTCTGCCCTGCACCCCCCACTTCAGCACCACCCCTGCTTTGTAGGGTGGTCCTGGGTGCAACTCGCTGTGCTTCCTCCGGGCCATTCGACACCTGGGCCATCCCTCCCCGACTCGCCCTGCTGCGAACTCACCAGCTCCAGCCTTTCCTAGTCCTGGAACTGCTCCACCTCTTGATCACTTTCGCTGCCTTTTTCGGCACTTTCCCCAAAAAAGTTTTAGGTTTGGTGACGTAATTAATGAAGGGCAATAGGACACTGGCTGTTCTATTTCCAGTCCTTTCCAGATTGTGCCCAATGTGGAGTTTGCCTCGTTCACGGGTGTGCAGGCAACGCATTCATCGAGCATCCACTCCATCCCCAAAGCCTCTTTCCCTTGCCCCCGTGTTGCACAGGGCGTTCCCCGGGGCACCCCAGAGGCTTTTTCTGGTCCAGCATGGATTTTTGCGGGTTTAGCAAGAAAAACAGCAATCCCGAGCATGCCCAGACAGAAGCAGCATCCTGCAACTTCCGGTGTGCCCAGCCTGCGATCTTGCACATTCGCCACTGGTGTGAGCCCCATAGAAGTCAGTGGGGCTTCCCTCTGACCCAGCATTGCCCTGGAAAGGGAGCAGAGGAGGGTGGGCTGCGGAGGAGTCCAAGAAACGCGGCCCCGTCCGAGCAGCGCTGCCCTTCCTCGTGGAGCGTTGCCGAGGGGCTGGGGTTCTCCAGCCAGAAAGCACTCGATGCAGATATGTCTCGGGCTGCCTCTGGAGCAGAATGAAGGGGGTGTCCAGCGGCTGGTGCAGGGAGAGGCATCCCAAGCATGGTGCTGACCGGAGCACACCGGGGAGATGGGAAATGCCACGGCCAGGAACAGGGAGCAGGCGGGCCCAGAAAGACTCGGCCTTTTGCTGGGGATCAAGAGCGGCAGCCCTCCTTAGCCGTGTCCTCTGGCGTGGTCTCCAGGTGGGAGCTGTGGGTTTCATGGTGTCTTGGGGCCGGGGGGAGGCAGGGGGCTTCGTCCTTTGCTCGCATTGGCCTGGTGCTGCAGGGCTGCCGGGGAGGGTGCGCCTCCCACTCGGCGGGAGCAGAAGCAACGGGAGCCCCGTCTTCAGCCACACGATTCCCCTTGGCGCCAGCGCATCGCTATTCCTTATAATACGTGCGTTCGGAAGTGTGTTGCTCGGGCTGTTGGGATGCGTTTCCAGCCTTACGCCCTGCAGGTGTGTTGGACTGCGACCCCCGTGCTGCCTGCCAGAGCTCCTGCCCGGATGCCCGGAGACCTCCCGCCTCCCCCCACCTCACGCATCGCGCCCCACAGAAGCTGGCCGGCCATCCCCGAACAAGCACGGTTCAGCTGTGGGCCGGGCTGCGCATGCCGCGCGCCTGCCGGTCCTGGGGCGCCTGCGGAGGTGTGCCTCGGTTCCCCCGAGCGTGCTGCAGGCAGGAGCCGGAGCGTGCCCAGCCCCTGCTCTCCCCTGGGCCGGCGCGCCGAGGACACCCGGGAGGAGCGGGACCTCTGGGCAGCACGAGGCCCTCTGCGTCACTCGCTTCGGGGCCAGGCTGCCGCTTGTTGGAGAGCCCGGCCGGGGGAGTAGCTCCTGGAAGGCGGATCGGTCCGCAGCCGTCGGCCAGCCGGCTCCCGAGCGCGAGTCGCGGGCGAGGGCTTTGGCCCCGGGCTCCGAGCACGGACTTCCCGGGAGCTTCCGGCGGGTGGCTGTGGGAGGGGGATGCCAGGCCTGACGGACCCCTGCCCCACTTCCTGCACCTCGTTGGCAGAGCAGCGAGGGGCCGGGACGCCCGGCTCGCCTGCACGGCAGCCACCGGGGCTGGCCGGCCTCGGCAGCCCTCCCTGCAGCCCACCTTCTGCAGCGCAGCCGGGGCACATGCAGCCCTCGGAGGCTCCTGTGCCTCCCGTATTTCCCGCAAATGGCCCCCCGCGAGCCCCCCTCCAGCCCCCCGCACCACCGGAGGCTCGGCTCCTCGGAGGGCGCTCGCTCGGGGAGTAGCATCCTCCTCCAAAATGGGTCTGGGTGGGAGAACGGGGGGAGGCTTTGTGCTCGGGATGGGGCCGGGGACCACCAGCTCCAGTCGTGCCCCTCGGCGCGTGACTCCCGCAGGGGGCCCACCCCACTCTATGCACCCAAAGCCAACGCGGAGCTCCCCCCCAGCTCCCGCCCCCACCCAGCCTTACGAGGGCCAGCCGACGCTCGCCTGGCCCTGTGCAGCCACCCGTCTGCCAGGCCCCGGGCCTGTCCGGCCGGCAGGGGAGCACCGGAGCTGGGCGCGCAAGCCGGCGGGTGCAGCAGTGGGGTGCCTCTGCTCCGTCCCCAGAACGCAGCCCCCTTTTTCCCCGCCTGGAGGTACCCAGGAAGCACTGGAAGGGAGCCGGGCAACATCCCGCAGAGTTGCAGCCCCGGCTGCCCCCAACCCACCCCCGCAGCGACCCCAAGAACAGGCCAGGACACCCTTTTAAAAGCAAGTCACCTTTATTTCTGGGGGGAGCACCCGAGCTGGGCACGCAAGCCGGCGGGTGCACTGGTGGGGTGCCTCTGCTTCTCCCCATTCCCCCCCCCCAATTTTTTTAAATTCTTTTTTCTGTCTTCCTTTTCTAAAAAACAAAATTCTCTTTGGTTTGATCTGCCCCCGTTCGCCATGACAGCCACCCCGTTCGTGGATGGGGTGGAAGGGGAGGGCAGAGGTCACGGGGAACACAGGCTGGCCCTTGGGCACCGCTCGGCCAGGCCCCCTCCTGCGGGGCCCCCAGGAAACGAGCGGGCGCTGCTGGGGCCCCGCTGCAGGCCGTGCCCGACCCCAAGGCCCACGCTCCGCTGCTGCTCTCCACACAACTCGCTCGCGGCCGCGCCGCCTCCGCTCCACCTGCGCCCGCCCGGAAGTCGTCTCCCTGGCCCCAGGGGCACCGAAGGCGCCTCCGCTCCCCGGGCTCCCCGGTCCTGGCAGAAGCCCCTCAGAGGAAGCTCTCCACTTCCTCCCCCCGCTTCGGCTGCGCACGTCATGCTCCCAACCATCTTCGGGGGCCCCCAGAGGCCTCCCTGATCCGCAGCTGCTGCCCGACGGCCCGGGGGGGCTCGGGCAAAGCACTACCCCACCTCATGCCCTCTGTGCCAGGCCCGGGCGACTTGGTCTTCCACTGGGAGCATCGGGCCGAGGGGCGCTGCGGCCCGTCCCCAGCTGTGCGCCCGCATCCTGCCGTGGCCTGGCAAGGTCAGCCCAGGGCACACATCCCCCTCCGCCCCCCCCCCGTGCAGTCTCCCTCTCCCTATGTGGCCCCCCGTCATGGCTTCCTCGTCCTGTGCTTGTCTCAGACCCCCTGTGACCCCTGCCCTTCCCAGCCACACCGGCGCACACCCC